AAGACTATTTCAAGGGGGCCGGCACTGTGGCATAGTGGGTAAAGCCACCACCTGCAGTGCTGGAATCCCAAAAGCCACCGGTTCGAGTCCTGGCTGCTCCACTTTCGATCCAGCTTTCTGCTGTGGCCCAGGAAAGCAGTGGAAGATGGCCCAAGTCCTTAGGCCCCTGCACCCACATGGGAGATCTGGGATCTGGAAGAAGCTCCTGGCTCCTAGCTTGTGCAGCTCTGGCCATTACAGCCAACTGGGGCGTGAACCAGCGGATAGAAGACCTCTCTCTCTCTGCCTCTCCTTCTCTCTCTAATTCTGACTTTCAAATAAATAAATAAATCTTAAAAAAAGAGAGAGAGAGATTATTTCAAGAAAAATAGGTGGGCAAAGTTTATACAAGGTATAAAAAGTCTTGAGATACCAGAAAACACACATTAAAATCTTGAGAGGTCCTCTTAGACCCCCTGCGAGTTACAATCAAGAAGTGATAAGTGGACCACTTTGATGTGGAGCAAACCTCTGCAGAACAGAATCTAAACACAACTCACTTCTAAACAAATAGCCCAACAAAGTTTATAAACAAAGTCATGAATGTTTTCTGGAACCAGGCCTCAATTTATAACCTTCTAAACTCCATCTACAGGTTACAGCTTCCCCACCCACCAGAAGCTCATCAGAAACACTTCTGTCTGTACTTTGCAGGAAATGAGGAATTTGAAAAGCAACTCAGAAATTTAAGACTAAATTTATGAAAAATACTAAATGACAACATAATGTAATAGACCTCGGAGGCAGAGAGACCTTGGCTCAGATTCAAATCTGTTCTGTACTCACTTAGATCCTAAGCGAGAAATTAACTTCTCCGAGCCCTGTCAATAATGTTGGATAATAATTCTGACCTCCCTTGATTACTGTGAGTGGTAGAGAATCATAGCAAATGCCTAGTCACATTAGGAACATGGCAGCGTTCACTTCCTCCAGAAATCTTTAAGATACTTACTGGTTTAAGATACTTACTGTATTAAATCCTGATCATAGCAAAATTCCTCAGGCAAAATAGCTACTAACTGAAAAAGAACTCTTGCATTTATATACATGCACCATATGTGTTCTCATGATATACACTTGCTTGCAACCAAATATATCATCAGAAGGCATCCACTGTCAATTTCACTCAGGTTAAATCATATGAAATTGCTCACTTATGACCACTTCATTCCTACAACTATAGAAATTGCAGATAGTTGCAAATAGCAAGTCTACAGCAAGGACTTGATATCTGCCTGTCCTGCCTAGATTTTCTGAAACTAGCAAAATCATTAGAAATCAGGAAATACATTTTCATCCCAGTTCTGCCATTTCTGTGTGACTTAAAAAAAAATCACTTAGCAACCTTGAGGCCCAGTTTCCTCATTATATAATAAATATGGTTGATTCATCTTTTTCTGTTCTGTAACTTAATGAGTATTAAGTTAATGACTAAAGCAGAGGGATTTAGTTTAATGAATCCAAATCACGGAGTTTGTAAGGACGTTTTTAACTTGGCTATAAAAGTTCTCTAGGTTGTTCCTTTCACGTCTATCCTGTCTTCTTCTTTGAAGCACAGAAGAGAGAGACCTTGATGATAATAACACAAAGCTGTGTAAACTTCTTTGCAGGCTTCTTAAAACACTTCTAATTTGGCATACTCTACCATAGCAATACTGGATTTCTCCTTAAACAAAAATGGTCATGGGTGTCAAAGAGATGTGAGTGAGTGTCCACTGAACTGTGTCTAAATGATTTTCCTTGTGACCAAAGCCAGCCTGGAATAAGCCTCTGCTAGTGAGAAGACAGAACAAGCTTCCCAGGCAGAGGAGGCATTGTTCAAAGTAATGAGTTCTGCACCACTTGGTCCACAATTCACAGCTGAGTCTGATTTTCCTAGACAAAGAGCAATAACCAAACGGGGAATGCTCTTCAGCAAGCTTCTCCGAGCTTCTAACTGTCATCAGACTTCAGAGATGGTGAAGACAAGATGTGCAGAATCTCCCTACACTCCAGCGTCCTAGGAATGATGAGAGGAAATGTTCGTCAACCCTGGTCAATGTTATGCCAAGGTGTGTCAAGACTGCAGTGGGTTTAAGTAGAATTTGAACTCAATAAAAAATGCCTAGGAGTTATTCCAGCTCAAAAGTTAAACTGCTTAAATGCTCGATTGTTATTTCTTTTATCCTTCTATCATAATTTAATACCCCTTCTTTTTTTCCTTCAGAGAAATAATAGTCATGATCCCCCAAGCATGCCGATCACAGCATTCTTAGAAGGGAGCTGCAGGAGGTTTATTATGTCATGAAACATGGAGCCAGAACAAAGGACCACTGAATCACTCACCTTATCTTCATCTCAGAAACCCGAGAATAACAGGGGTTCTATTTTTTCTCCCAAACTCAGCACTGCACTTGCCAAGGCCACAAGCTTTAGGTCTGAGTCTGAACTACAAAAGGTGAGTAGATGGATGAGTTCAATGCTTCCTATCCTATAAATTAACGTTTGTCTAAATTGCTCAAAAACTGCGTTGTTTTAAACCAAAGTTTGAGCATTTGTTTCTGAATCCGAAATTCTGGTTGATCAGCCCTGACTTAGTTGTTCTCTTAAGAGTATCTTAGATAAGTATCTTTACCCTGAAGACCTGAAATAGCATTAGAATTGTCATGAGAACTCAGGACTCTTAGTTCATCAGTTTATTCACCATGCCAAATATACAAGTTCCCAGTAAACACTTCGATGCCTGAATGAATAAGTAAATTAGAGAGAAAACATTTAAGAATTTCCACAGTATTTTCAATTAGGGAAACCTAACATGAAGCACCTTTATTATATTCTATTTCTATAATATATCCCAATAATTATTTAGGAGACAAATTCTTAATTTAAGCTATGACATGGGAAAATGTATCAAACTGAAACAGTCACTGTAACAGGTTTTCTTTAAATCTGGTGCAACTATAAATCCTGGCTCTGCCCACCAACCTCCCCTCCCTTTGTCTCATTCCCACTGCCCTCCCCACTCCACCCCCAGGCTTCCCCCAAGCATTCCCAATCTCATTATCCAGTGATCTGCTAAAACTGCAGTTTATCTCCTTGAACCAGCAGAAACACATGTCAATGAGAATTAGGGAATTGGAGCCAGTTACAAGCTACCAAATAGGGTCACAAAGTATCTGAACCTGAAGATTTAAAAGTCTATTTTTTAAGTAAAGAGGGGGGAAACAATTAAATTTTTTAAAATATTTAAACTAGATGGATTGCACAACATCTAGGCAAATGGGATGGGAGAAAGGACTTTAACAGCACTTTATCTGCTGGTTATTTGGAAAGTAATATGCTGATTTCATTTGCATATGGAGGAAGGATATTAGCTTAAAACTTCCATTATGAATGAACACTTGCTATTCTCTAAAGAAAATCGTTTTAAAGTTGGATACAGCAAAACAAGACCCCCATGTTACATCAACCAAGGTACTTTAGCCACACGTTCCCAGGTAGCTCCATTTTAAACTTTTATTAGAGATTACCTTAGTTCTGACCAATGTTTATTTAATACGCTGTCAAATATTGTTGCAGTCTACGAAAAATAAGCAACAAGAAGCCACAGCTCCTTTTATGGACATACCCCCTAGGTTGTGTACTCTTGCCAAACACCAGCCTGTGGGTCAACAAATGGGATTTAGAAGACGGAATGGGGCTGTCAAGACACAATTTTCAGAAAAGAAAATGACCCTCAACAAAAGGCTTGAGAGAACTAATTTGTATTCAGGCTCCTGGAAAGATTCTCTGCAGAAGATCTTAGCCCCAGAAGGCATCAAAACATAGGGGAAACCGGAAAAACAGCGGGCTCTACTGGGAAAGCCTTTGTTTCTCTTCACTGGCATTTTACCACGGTCCGTTAAGGAGCGCATCTCATTATTGTCGGCGTGCCCTTAAGGGGACACAGGTGCTGCCGGGTAGCACACACCCCGCTCTCCACGTGGGGAGAGGAGGCACAGATCTGTCCTCAACGCTCAGGCGCAATCACCTGACTGAATTTTTAAAAACTCACCAGGAAGTGAACGTTTTATTCGTCTCCATTTCTACGAAAGGGGAGGGTGGTAGTAACTACTGCCCCACTAAACAATTTCTCACCGCGTACTTGCGCCTATAATAAAAATAGTCACAGCAGAGAAAGATTCTGCTGTTTCGATGTAGGCGACTTTTTAATGCTGACTTCCTAATATGCAAATGAGATCAAAAATTAATTTCTAGTTACAAACAAGAAGAAAGGTCCCAGGGAGGAAGAAAAGAGAGCGCCATAGACCCTCAACCCGGGACCCGGCATTGGGGCGCGCGGGGTGGCGTCTCCACCCGCGACGCTGTCGCCATGGGAACCTCCGCGCAAGCGCAGAGCGCGTCGCCGCGGCTCGCCTCGGTTGCCCGGCGCTGCTCGGGTGCCCCTGGTCTATCCCGAGAGAGCGCAATGGAGTAAATCCTCTTCGCGCGGCGCGCACCGAGGCTTCCCCGTGGGGACTGTGAGCGGGGTCACCGGGCGCACGAGGAGCCCTGAGACGCCTGAAGCGTAACGGATACCGCACTCCCCTGGCGGGGAAACGCAGACCTGCGCTCTCAGCGGCGTCTGTGAAGTGGACAGAGCGGGGTCCGGGAACTCCGCGAGGGGGCGAAGCATCCTGCAGCGATGCTGGACCCTCCACTGAGGAAAAAGCCCTCACCACCGCGGACCCCGTTAAATTCCTGTCCCCGTGGTTCTGAGCTGTGGGACCCCACGAGCAGCCGCGGTGCAGTTCCCCGCGCGGGGCATCGAGCGATGCCCACGCACAGCGCTCGCGGTTCCTCAGAGCGTGTCCCAGCCGCCAGCTCACTGGGCCGGCCAAACTGCCCTCTTCCCCCTGCCCACCCCGATCTCCGTACCCTCTCCCCCCACCCCCCCCAAAAAAACACTGACCTCTCAGGTTTGGGGGGTTCGGCAGCTGAAGGAGTCCTCGGCACAGGCGCAATCTCCCAAGTACAGCGGTTATGAGTTTCGGGCCCCTGGGCCGCCCAACTCCAAACCCGTGCCAAGGGCCGGTAAAGCCCCGCGACGGGCACTTCTCGCCAGCAGCCTGCAGAAACCCAGAGACGCGCCGGGCGGTGCAGGGCGCCGCCGCCACAACCTGCTTTCTCATTCAAATCCTCACGCTCGCCTCGGAGCCCCCCTCCCTCCCCGCCCGCAGCTCCCGAGGAAATCAGGAACTGGAGCGAGGGAGCGTGGACTGGAGCGTCCGTCGCCTCCGCCGGCCCCGGGCCGGGGGCTGGGCGGGCCCTGCGGCCAGCAGCCTCCCGCGGGGCTCCCAGGCAGGCGGGAGCGGGACGAGCACAGAATGAAGTCCTTTTTTTTTTTTTTTTTCTTTTTGCACCCCCGCCTCGTTGCAACTCCCCGCAAGTTTCAGAGGTTCCCAAATGCAGGGTCAACCCCTGCACCCTCTGCTCGGGAAGGAGGGCCCTGGGTGGAGGTGGTTAAAGGAATCGGGGAAACAAAGTTGGAGGTGAAGCGTGCAGCTTACGCCAAAGTGAAACCTGTTGGAAAAGCCCCGAACCACCCATTTTGGTGTTCCTTCGGGTTTGCTGACTCTGCGAGAAAAATGGCATCTTTCAGGGGGTGTGAAATCAAGGAGATTTGCTGTGGGTAGCGTGCCTCTGAAATCAAAGAGGGAGCGCAGCGGATAACACCTGGCCTCTACCGTCAGCCTCTTGGTCCAAATGCTACTGCTGGGGTTAACCCGCGAATACTCAACCACAAGGAGTGAGCGGCCCCCAGAGCCCCGCCCGGGCGGGCGCCGCGGCGCTGGAGATGCGGTGGCATCTCCTGCGCGCCCCGGTGAGCGGCAACCGGCTTGGGACAGGATTTGCAGCGCCGGCCGCCGGCGGCCTCCGCAGCCGCCCTGTGATCCGACTTGGGGATTCCGGGATTTGCATTTATCAGCCTTCATTCAACCTGCCCTATTGTTAGTTCAAAGCCTGGCTGGGAGGGACCGAGGACGCTGCTCCTCACTCACCTTTCAGTTTTAAAATTCTCCTCCAATGAGAAGGTCTTAGAAAAGCTGGCAGCATGGGGTTGGCAGGGATTTTCTGGGCTTAGTGACAACATAAACCAAAGTCATTTTCTTTTCTCATGCGTGAATTTGCTCGGGAAGTTACAAATGAGTGCCTGGAATTGGAGAGCGGGAGCCCGGCTGCCCGTCCACTTTGACGGACAGTTAGTGGAGGGGGTGGCAGCACCGTGACCTCTCAGCGCCAAGATCTAGGGTTTCACCTTTTCATCCCACTTAGCTGATACCATAGAAACAACCCATTTGTATTATTTCAATTCAACAGAGGCAATTACAATGTCACAGCAAAGCACCATGGGCAAGAAGAAACTTTATCCCGCAAAAGCAACCCTGGACTCTCAGAAAAAAGAGAATGTCACAGAACAGGCACTTGAATTTCCTCCAGCCAGAGTACCAGGAAGGAATCAATTTAGGAAAAAAGATATAAGGTCTTTACACTCCATAGAGATCAGTGTGTGTCGCTCTCTTACACACACACACACACACACACACACACACTCCACACAGACACCCCCCCAATTCGAAATTAAGTAGATAATCTATGCCTTCAAACTGCTTTTTGTTTTGTAGACAGGGCTTATTTTACAGGTTTGTTTTGCTGGTAATCTCCATGGTGAATAGGAAAGCGAAAAAACAAAAAAACGAAAACAACCGAGATAACCCCTCAGCAATCCCCTTCACCACCCCCAACCTCCTGTGTTTGTTTTTCTGGAATCTGAAAAACCACAGATGCACCAAGTGAAATAAACTCACATGCACAGTTCATAACAACAACACTTCTTTGCTATGCATTCTTTATTTTAATCTATTTCAATAATTTTCCAGCCTTCTAAATTTTACAATTTCACAGTCTTTCAAACCCACCAGAAACAGAACAGATACTATTATGATACTCCTGTCCCGACCCTTCTTTTTTAAATCTTTACAGATAGGTCTTGTGGCTCTCCCCATTCCCACCTCTTCCCAAAGGTAACAATTCTGACATTTTTGCGAATCATAATTGCAAACGTTCCTCAATGTTTAAGACACATGTGTATAAGAATACTTCAAAAGGTTCATGAAAAAAATGGAAGTGATAAGCTTATTTTTGGTGCAATAAATTTTAAAATCCATTCATAGTCTTTTCATAATATAAATTTTCCATGAACTTTTTGAAGATTCCTCATATGCTCAAATTTCAAATAGTTTCTCCACAACAAATTTATTAATTCTATTTCTCATGAGCTTTTTAAAGTATTCTTATTATATCTACAGTCGTTTAATACAGCTTCTCCCTCCAAGTCTTATTTTTAAAAACCATCATTAATCAGAGAAAAAGCACTGACTGAAAACAAGAAAATATTGTTGTCACATTGCTAAATTTTTGGAAACAGAGCAGACCTGTTTGTCCCTGCTTGAGAGAATCAGAGGGAACAACAACAAAGAATTAGAGGGTAGTAAACAGCCTCTCTAGGTTACACAGACCCTTCCATGGTTACCGACCAGTCAATAGGAAAACAAAACAAATCATACCCCCTTCTTCCACTGGTGAAAGGGAAACTGCAGAAAACGAGACCACATTAAAACTTCTCTGGGCAGGTGCTACAAACCATATAGTAAAGTGCTTGTCTGCACAGTCTCTTGGTCATGCAAGCAACAATCTTTTAAAGAGGACTTCAGGGTTTTCCAAGTATAAGGGACCCATGTTGGTAGCTCAAACCCCACTGAAAAGTCTAAGGCTGATTCTTTCTCTGCTTCCTACAGCTCAGGGACCTCCGTCTGTACAGTAAAGAAAACCCTCTACGGCCGTCCTTGTACAACTCCTTCCAGCAGTAAAAGGGCTAAGAGAGCACCGATTTTTCTTAAATGCCATGGACTGCTGAAAGACATCCTTCCCCACCCCCACCCTCACTTCCTGAGCGATGACTCTCATTAATTATACTGGCACATCACTGCCTGGCCTCCCTTCTAAATAGCTGCCAGATTTCTATGTATCACCTCTGCCTTGATACAGAATGCGCTCTGACATCAGGATCACAGAAAATCCTGTAAGGAGTGCCTGTTAGGCGGTAAGATGATTGATGTGCCTGGTGAGCCCGCTGTGCTGCATATCTTTAGGGGTTAGAAAACTACACTAGGAATCTGTTGGAGATGTGTCTAGCTGTGCAGAAATGGTGCTTTCTGTTGCAAAAACCATCTTTTTTTTAAGATTTATTTATTTATTTGAAAGAGTTACACAGAAAGAGGAGAGGCAGAGAGAAAGATCTTCCATCCACTAGATCACTCCCCAAATGGCTGCAATGGCCAGAGCTGCACTGATCTGAAGCCAGGAGCCAGGAGCTTCTTATGGCTCTCCCACGTGGGTGCAGGGGCTCAAGGACTTGGGCCTTCTTCTACTGCTTTCCCAGGCCATAGCAGAAGAGAGCTGGATCAGAAATGGAACAGCCGGGACTTGAACCGGTACCCATATGGAATGCCAGCTTGGCAGGCAGTGGCTTTACCAGATACGCCACAGCGCTGGCCCCAAAAATCATCATATTTAAGATACTCAAATTAAGCAGCAAAAAATCACAAGCAAGAGTGTGAAGAAGATGGTATTATCTCTGCTTTAATCAAAGTATCGGTAATTCTGGTAAACCATGATCAAAGAGCATTTCAAGGAGGAGTCACTCCTCTTTCCTGGGTGTTGCCATATCCCCAACACTGCTCTAGGCAGCAAGTCCTGGCTGCAACATAGATTGCATTCCTGAAGTAAGTTAGTGAGGACATTAGTACATGTCCTTAAGGTCCTAATGTCTGCATCAGTTAAGATTTTTAGTACAAATAACAAAACCCCAAATCAAACCAGCTTGAGAAGAAAAGCCAATGCACTGATTTCCCCACTTTAAGGTAGAACAAAGACAAGGGCTTCAGAAATGACTGAGTCCAGCAATACAGAATTACCATTTCTCTCTTGTTAAAGAAACATTCAATGAAACTTGTTATTATTAAAGGAACATTTTATCCAGGACCATCTCAGTAGGTACAGGTACCAATGCTATTAGGTCTTGCAGTGGGGGACACAGGGTGGGCTCAACTCCAAAGAAAGCACTGGCAAGTGGGAATTTATAACCAAGAAGTAGTGTGGGGGTCAGCAGATGGAAAATTACTAAGGGTAAGCATGGCTGTGGCTAAACTCACCTAACAGGATTCCTGCTGAAGACAGGCCAGGGTCATCAGACATCACCCGGGGCGTGGAGGGTGGAGGACGAGGGACCCAATCAGATTTCTAGTGTGATCAGATAGCCAAGGTTCCGGATTCTTGATCAACTGACTTAGCAGAGCTCTTTGTTTTATAAGAAAATATATACATGGACCTAGAAGAGGGTTCTGAAACCTGACTCAGGTTTGGCCATGCAGACTTTGTCCCTCTCACTTTCGCTTCTTCTCTTGCCCTCTCCACTTTTCTGGGTGTTTTAACCCTGTTACATGAGAGCATCTCCTATAGGCTGGCAGGAATAAGGGGAGCACACCAGGGACTGCTCCAGGCTTCAATCATCTCTGTGAGTGATCCCAGGAGAAAAAGCTGGCTTTTCTCATCTATAAACGAGATTGTTAGAAAGACTAATTGAACGGACTCTGGTCAAGTGTCCCTCTGTCCTCAGGTCAATTATTATGGTCAGCAATACGTAGAATGTCTGTATGGCCAGACCCTGGTAATATGCCCCAGTCTTATAGTCAGAGAGCTGGATACTGAGAGTGGCAGCCCCATCAAAACTAGTTGGAATCAGGGAGGATGTGTCCCCCAGAGGAAGGGGGCTGCTCTTACCATACGAACATAGAAAAAGATTCTGGCAGATAAAAAGGGAAAGTATCCCCTTTAGTACCCTTCCCAAGGCAGCCACCAAAGGACACAAACACCTTTGTACAGATTCAAATGTATATGGCAGAGATAAAAACTGAGGTCAGCAGATAAATCTCCTGAGTCCATCAGGAAGAACTGGGCACGGGAGCAGCCAAGGGTAAGTGCCAACTGTCTCCCCTCCCCAGCTGGAAAGGCCTGTGTGCCCCAGTGGTCATGCTAAGCTGGAGAGAGGGAGAAAAGGACCATAAAAGAGAGCTGTCACTGGAAGGAGTTGCGTTTTGTGTTTTCCAATATCATGAGAGTTTTCATACACACAAAGAAAGTCAGAGTATGAGACCTTATGTATTAGTCATCCAGCTTTAACAATTTTTCATATCATGGCAATTTTATCCAGGAACGTGGGAAATTCATTGAAATATTCATACTTATATTAATAAGTTAACACATTTGGAAGTACTATAACTTGGCTGCTGAAATAAATCATGCCCCCAAAGTAACTAAATTAAACAAGACAAATGCATGGGAAGCCCTTAGCAGAATGTAACAAAAATGAGGTCTGAGAAATGTCATTTATTTTTACTGTGCTTATTGGCAACCAACTTAAAGCTTTTAAATACTAATGAACAAATATTGAAATGTATTCATACAGAGGAAAATAATTTAAGATGAAACTCTAACTCTTCATTCCTTAACATTTTTAAAAGATGTATTTTAAGTGAGTTATTTGTATTTTTATTATAACAAGGCTATATGATTGTTTTCCCTTTTATACGGAAATGTTACAAATAACCTTGGCAGAACACGTCACTCCAAGAATGGACAAAGGTAAAATAATCAGCTGTGACTAAAGTAAGTTCATCAATTCAGCTAAGATTTTCTTTACCCCAGGTCTACTTCTCAGGAGCTTTTAGTTCCCAGTACAGAATGAATACTGTTTTAAAGGCAGAAAGTATGCTAATTAAAGTGAACCTTCCCCATTTTCTGCTTTTCTCCAACGTGTTTCTTTGTGCCTTCTGCACTGGGGAGAATGAAGTATTTCAGAGGCAACAATAGTGTCAGTGGAGGACAGAGCCCTTTTTCCTTCCTCCTAAGAGCTTCACAACTCAGCTTTGCATGTTTTGTTTCCAGAAAGACCTCCCACAGAGCCAGTATCTGCAGCTAACAAGATAGTCTGCCCTGAGACCCATAGCTGAGGTGCTTTATTCAGCCTAGGAGGTCATATCTCAATGTTGAGGCTCCGCATTCCGGTCTTGGCATATACTGGGATCCCACTCTAATACCACCATTAAACATTTTGCCAAATCCAATAATATAATTAAAAGAAAAGTGTATCTTCATAATCTATCCAACTGTGGACCAGTCATTTAATAAAACAACCACTTTTATATACATTGAAAAGTTTATGAAGACAAGAAACTTCTCTTGTAGAAAAAAAAATGTGGAAAGAAGCTGGTGAAACAGTGAAAATGCAAATGTTAAAGCTTTGAACAGTAAAAATGCAATTTACACCAAAGAGAAAACTCTTCTATGTCTCTGCTATTTGGAATGCTAATGGGTTGTCCATTCTCCATTACTGACATGTTTCTAACCAGAAACCAAATGGTCAAGTTTTCTCACACAAACATAGTAAAGTGTTTCATTTATTTGTATATTAAAACTAAAAATGTATGTAGAGAACTTGATTTGTCCAAAATAAGTGCTATTTTTATTATTTTTTTTAAGATTTTGTTTATTTGGCCAGTGCTGCGGCTCACTAGGCTAATCCTCCACCTAGCGGCGCCAGCACACCGGGTTCTAGTCCCAGTCGGGGCGCTGGATTCTGTCCCGGTTGCCCCTCTTCCAGGCCAGCTCTCCGCTGTGGCCAGGGAGTGCAGTGGAGGATGGCCCGAGTACTTGGGCCCTGCACCCCATGGGAGACCAGGATAAGTACCTGGCTCCTGCCATCGGATCAGCGCGGTGCGCCGGCCGCAGCACGCTGGCCGCAGCGGCCATTGGAGGGTGAACCAACGGCAAAGGAAGACCTTTCTCTCTGTCTCTCTCTCTCACTGTCCACTCTTGCCTGTCAAAAAAAAAAATTTAAAAAAAAAAGAGATTTTGTTTTTTTGAAAGGCAGAGTGTCAGAGAGAGGGAGAGACTAAGAGAGAGAACAAAAGATCTTCCAACTGCTGGTTCATTCTCTAAATGGCTTCAACAGTGGGGTCTGGGCCAGGCCAAAGCCAGGAACTCCATCCCGGTCTCAGGCTCTTGGGCCATCTTCTGCTGCTTTTCCAGGCCAGTTAGGAGGAAACTAGATGGGAAGCAGCCTGCCCTCCACTATGGGATGCTAATGTCAGAAGTAGTGGTTTAACTCCCTTGTAAGACAATGCCAGCCCAATAAATGTTACTTTTAAACTTAAAAGGCATTGAAAATGTATTTCCAGATCATTTAAGGAAAAATTATTCTTCATTGGGTAGCATCATGGGATGTATGGGGGAAATTAGACTGGAGAAATAGTTCTGGTCAATATGAGGAGGCAAAACTGTGATGGTCTACCTCATTCTTTCTTCCACTGATTTATTTAACAAATATTTACAGGGTTCCCAGTATGAACAACAAACTAGGCTAAATGCAGTAGAGAAGAAATTATCCAAAATACAATAATTATGGTTTCAATTACTGGACTCACTCCACCTTGGAAGAGGAGAGAGAGAAATAATTACAGTATGACAAGTGCTGAAATAAGTGTACATTTGTGGAGGAACAGAAGAGGGCGCTAACTACTAATTTCCTTTGCTAGTCTCACAGAATTTAAGTATTCACACACTGTTCAGCAGAAAATACAATGATCCGAATACCTCAATTTTTTTAAAACCTCATTTCTGTCTGGATTGCTTGTCATCCTCTAGTTACAGAAACTATTCGTCAGGCTCCTTTCGAAGAGTGTGCTGGACAATGAGCCTTCCATGGTCACCTTCAATAACCCCTGAGCCTGCGGCACAGTCTGTTGCCAGGGTGGAAGTGTCAGGTTTGGGCACGCCAGGCCCAAATGCTGGAAATCCAGCTCCTCCAGCCATCACCTGCTACCCTGCAGGGAACTCATTTGCAAGAGGCTGGATGGGAAGCAGAGCCAGGACTCAAATCCAGGCACTGTAAAATGAGATGAGGGCATTACAAGCAGCACCTTAACCCATCAGCCAATCACACACACACACACACACACACACGAACAAAAAAGACTTATCTTGGCCATGTGCAAGTCACTGTGATGTGTTTTACTCTATTCTATTCCTTGGTCTTTTTCTTTCTTAGTTACTGGTCACAACCCATTCACATCTTTACATCTCACTTGCAGTTGAGAAGCAATGCTCTGGGGGCTGGCGGTGTGGCTTAGAGGGTTAAGCCGCCTCAACAGATGGGAAGAGGTTTGAATCCAGGCTGCTCAACCTCCGATACAGCCCCCTGCTAATGCACCTGGGAAAGCAGCAGCTGATGGCCTAAATCCACGGGCCCCTGCACCCATGTGGGAGACCTGAAAGAAGATCTTTGCTCCTTGCGTTGGATCAGCCCAACTCTGACCATTGTGGCCATTTGAGGAGAGAACCAGCAGATGGAAGGCCTCTCTCTCTCTCTGATTGTCTGTAACTCTGCTCTTCAAAAAATCAGTAAATCTTTTTTATTATTATTATTTTTTCTGACAGGCAGAGTGGACAGTGAGAGAGAGAAACAGAGAGAAAGGTCTTCCTTTGCCGTTGGTTCACCCTCCAATGGCCACCGCGGCCGGCGCACTGTGGCTGGCGCACCGCGCTGATCCGAAGGCAGGAGCCAGGTGCTTATCCTGGTCTCCCATGGGGTGCAGGGCCCAAGCACTTGGGCCATCCTCCACTGCACTCCCTGGCCACAGCAGAGGGCTGGCCTGGAAGAGGGGCAACCGGGACAGAATGTGGCGCCCTGACTGGGACTAGAACCCGGTGTGCTGGCGCTGCTAGGTGGAGGATTAGCCTAGTGAGCCGTGGCACCGGCCTAGTAAATCTTTTTTTAAAAATGAAAAAGGAAGGGCTGGTGTTTAAGATGCTCACATCCCATTTCAGCCTTCAGCCAATGCAGATCCTAGGAGGCAACAGTGAAAGCTCAAGTAATTGGGTTCTTGCCCCCCACACAGGAGATCTGAATTGAGTTCCCGCTTCCTCGCTTTAATTCAGCTGAGTAGTGGGGAGGAAGGGGGTAAAATGGCAAGTGAGAGTTCTCAAGTTGTCTCTCTGTCTCTCCATCTCTAAACTAAAATCAAAAAATTAATGAAAAAGAAGTAAGCAGTAGCACTTACAACATAATCAAGGTCAGTGAGTCCCCATTAAACAGGTAGATGTCAAAGTCTTTTCAAATCTCTGAAAAAATAAAGGTCTTTGCTCAAAACTATGACCATCTCCAGGTTTCCCAAATAACATTAACAAAAAGTGGGCTTCCACAGTTGTCTAGCACTCAAAGGGTGGATCTGCTCCAATGCCCATTTTCCAAGAGGTTATGCAAGACAAGGACAATCTCCAGAGCAAGTACTGGGGAATTAGTACTGACCAAGACTGACGAACAAACACTGCCAGGACCAGGAGTTCTTGTTATTCCTGACCAACAAGATAAGATGTGCTATGAACTACTGACGTCCTAGTTTCCCTCCACGATGCACATCAGATGCACTGACGTTCAACCTTAGCCTTCCAGGTCATGACAAACCACCTCTGGACCTAACCAAAAGGGATGGACTCATATCACTTAGAGATTCCCAACAAGGGGATGGACCTTTTGGAACTTTATTGGGAATCCATCCCTTTACTTCCTAGACAAAGTTCACCTTCTTTCCTGAAAAAGAATTCTGAGCTCTAAGTCATCAGTATCTCAATCCAATTCCTCTTCATCACAATTTACAAAACTTTAAAATATTTATCTAATCAATGGCACTTTTCTTTGTTTTCTACCATTGATATAATTTTTTCAATTTTAATGTTTATTTGGTGTTTCAATGTAATTTAAGTGCTGGAATGGAAGTTAAATGAATGAGTTCAAACTGCCATCTTTTTTTATTTAAAGATTTATTTATTTATTTGGAAGGCAGAGTTAGAGAGAGAGAGGAGAGAGGAGAGAGGGGAGAGGAGAGAGGAGAGGAGAGAGAGAGAGAGAGAGAGAGAGCGAGCGAGCTTCCATCTGCAGGTTCACTTCCCAAATGGCTGCAATGGCCAAGGCTGGGCCAGGCTAAAGTCAGGAGCCTGGAACTCTGTATGGGTCTCCCATGTGGGTATCAGGGGCCCAAGTACTTGTGCCATCTTCCACTGCTTTCCCAGATGCATCAGCAGGGAGCTGGATAAGAAGTTGAGTACCAGGACTCAAATTTGCACTCACATGGGCTGTTGGGTGTTACAGGTAGAAGCTGACCCCTGTGACACAATGCTGGCTCCCAAACTGCCTTTTTGAAATAGAAGTACACTTGTATGAGGCAAATGTTTGGCAGAGCAGCTAAGACATGTTGGGATGCCCACATCTCATATCAGAGTGACTGGGTTTGAGTTCTGGCTCCACTCCCAATTCCAACTTCCTAATGTGCACCCTGGGAGTTAGCAGGTAGTTGAATCTCTGCTACCCAAATGAGAAACCTAGATTGAGTCCCAGCTCTTAGCTTCCACCCAGCCTAGCCATGGCTGTTCCAGAATTTGGAGAGTGAATCAGGAGAAGTAAAATATCTGTCTCTCCCTTAAATTTAAAAGAGGAGGAGGGGTGAAGGAGGAGAAGGAGGGGAAGAGGGTAGGGGAGAGGGAGAGACCATTCATCCTTCATTGTACATGAAAGATTTATTTGCAGTCCCTCTCAAAGACAACAAAGTCTG